AGACTTACTTGTTCTGATTTAGAAAAACTTGCACGCGGTGGAACAACTTCAGGTCCTAGCCTTGACAGAAGCTCTTGCAATGTACTGCTGCTCTCCTTTTTTCACAAGAAGAAAGTTAATAATTTAATATCTTGTCACTATTGGTGCTGCTGTGTGGTCTGCTGACAAAGATAGGAGCTCCAACAATTATGCCATTGTTTTTAGGATTGGATTGCTTTGCCTTCTAACAGCAAAGCTGGACAAATCCATCCCAACAAAAAACTGAGAAAAGAAAGCGTTGTCCACAGACGGTGCAATCTAGGAGTTGCGCAGCCAGTGACACGACCAATACCCCTGTGTTTGCTGGTAATTGGAAGAACAGGCAATAGGCTGGATGAAGGCTGCAAGAAGCACTTCGTAATCCATTAGACGAATGATTGACACAATTGGACACTGAGAAGGAAGTTTGAGTGAAAGACTTCAGTCCATTTGGCGGTTGACGATGAGACCGGGCTCGATGTTGATCGACAAATGTCATTCAAGTAAAAAACAAAGGTCGTGCAGATTTGATTCCGACAACGCTCAATAGCCTGAGTTGAAAACTTTGATGCGGAGAGATCTTGGGTATGCAGCACTTGCTGTGTCTTTCGGTTCGCTTCTTTGCAAAAGTAAAGCGGGGATGCGTTTGTCTCTGCGAGAGGTTTCAGTTTGGTGAATGCTGTTGGAGAGGCACGGGTGACACTCATAAAGCTTTGTGGAGATCAGTCATTCAGACCCCGGCAATTCGCTAAGAATCTGACGCATCTTAGGAATGAGCGGGAGCGCGGATTAGCTTTGATGTTGGTTGAGCCCAAGCGGCGTAGATGCACAGCCAAAGCTCAGCTGATGCTCAGGACGCTCATCTGTCCCGTTTGCAGCTCAAATGGAGGGGGGGGGTGCTCATCATATGCTCATGATTCGCCAGCGGCGTCGATGCATTGCTGAGTCGCAGGGGTGTGCCGCTACAGGGGAGGAAGAGGATGCGCTTGTACGCGTTCGTGCCGGTGTGGTAGTGTTGGTGGAATAGTGGTGGCGGTGGAACTCGTAGAGACTCCGAAACGCAGGGAGATGGGAAGACAGGGCCAGAGACCGTGCTGAAGGTTCATGTTGTTGATTAAAATATCCCCATAAATCCTGCCCTGGCCGGGTCCGGAAGGTGAGCAACGAGGACCATCCCGTCATTTGCCGTGCCGCAGATGAAAAGACGCTTTATCGGGACTCTATCGATTTGGGTTTGGTAGGCCATGGGCTTGCAGGATCGCCCAGCGGCCAAGGTCGCATGCAAGAAAAAGTCGCAGAGACGGCAAACAACCAACGTGTTCGATAATATGAGGAAGCCTGAGTTCGACAGAGTTGACCCAATATGTTGACAATCAGTTCATTTGTGCAGCTGCTGGAGGTTCGAGCAAACCAAGTTTCGAGCCACTTTGAGATGCATTAGTGATGCATTGCTATTGTTACTGCAATGCCGCCACCCTTTACACACAGTTTGAATGAAGATGTTTAGAGTTTTACATAAACACAGGCATGCATGGTCAGTAGGTGCTTTTGTTTGGCTGGCCGCTGGCCAGTTGAACAACAAGCGGCGATTGGGCAATGCAGTTTTGCACGTAAGTCCCGTCCATGTGCCATGAGCGTGAGGGAACATGGCTCCTCCGAGAAGGTCGTGGCCTGCTGCAGCGTAAGACCGTCCTTTGTTTTTGTGCTAAGGTGTGGTGTGAACGTCATAGTTCACCATCATAGCTTTCCATCAGTACGAGTACATAGGATTGATGCAGTTGACAAACCGTAACATCAGTATGATGTTGTTTTTTCAACCGATAACGATTACGACCAATGGATTAGTTTTGACGACGATGATGATGATGTTGTTGTGGTGGAGGACCGCGGTCGAGAGGAGTATCAGCCTCATCATCGTCATCATCATCACCGTCGTCGTCGTCGTCGTCGTCGTCGTCGTCGTCGTCATGTTCATCATCATCATCACCACCACCATCAGTTTCATCACCATCATCACCACCGTCATCATCATCCTCGTCATCATCATCTCATCTTCATCATCATCATCTCATCATCTCATCATCTAGTCACCATCGTCGTCGTCGTCCTCCTCCTTCTCCTCCTCCTCCTGGTCTTCCTCCTCCTCTTCCTCAATTTCATCACCATCATCATTGCCATTACCATTACCTCCGCCAAGTTCATCGTCATCATCACGGTGCGCAGCACGGGCATGAGATGCTGCATAAACAGCAACATGAGCGTTTGTTTCGACGGTTTGCGTCTTTGCGGGCTTCGTGATAAACTACAAGCGTGATGCAAGCCCCCAATCGCATCTTCCTACCAATGCTCCTAGCATACTAATAGCTAACTCACTTCGAAACACTGCAGCAAAGCGATCGCGCACAGCATTGCTGGCTTATGAACCCACCTCTTAGCAAGACCCTGAGCCTCGAGGTTGCGCCCCAGAGCTCACACCGAAAGCGGTTAGCCATGGCGTGTTCGTGATATTGCCGCATGTGTTTCACGAAGCCGTGTGCCGGCCTCCACCTGAAAAGTAAAGTTTGCCCCTGAGAATTTTCGAGTTTTGCAAGGGAGATCCCGAGGTCATGTACTTTGGCCTTTTTGCCTCGAGCTCGTGCTGTGCTTTGGGATATCCGAGCCTCGGCAGTGGAGGTTTGGAGCCCGAGACGGGACCCGGAGCCGATTTCAGTCCGATTTGCCTGGCATTTGAGCTTTCACAACAGACATAAATGGACATAAATTCAGAGCAAAAGCTGGTGAACCCTCCTTGTCAAGCTCAACGCGAGGGCCGAAGCAGTTTCCCCCCTCCCATTCCTCACCCAGATGAGTTCGGCCTTAGGCTCAATGTTGGAGGGAAGGCGGGGGGTTTCTGCTTTTTTGCAAGTCGACGGACGGTCCCCCGGCACGTTGTGTTGGGTACGCTGCCCAGGTGTTCAGATGAAACTCTGGTGCTCCTGGCGTTCCGTGCTACGCTGCTTGGCTGCAGCGAGGCAGCTCCCCGTTTCTGGCCCTGCTTTCGGATGCCGGAAGCCGGAAACTGCTGAAAGGTGCGCCGGGTATTTCATCTGTAATCTGGTTGGCCTCCTGCTTGGCGCTTGCTGCTTGATCGCACAGTTTCTCTGTCAGGATTTGGCATGGTCGGTGCAGGGATGGTGCAAGGTTTATGCACTTCGGGATTGTGGGAACATATGCGAACCACTGCTGGATCTCTGTACATCGGGAGATTCTTGTCATTGTCCCATTCACATCCAGGACAGAAGGCCGTAGCCCGCTCAACTTCAATCTCCGAGTGTTTGCTCAAGTCAAAGAGCTATTTGGTGCAGAACGCCGATCCTGGTCGCATCACCGGCATCACTGGTTCATACTTTTCCATACATTGCTTGGACTCCCAAGCTATCGTCAGCAAGCGGACTCATGCAAAACATCGGACTTGCATCAAGACGTTCCAACGTATGGGGCTTCGATGCATGTTTGGGCCTCTAAAGCAACGCGACACTGCCACTGTATGTTTCAACAAGCATTCTGAGAGCGTGCCATGCGAAGAATGATCTTCTGTATTGTTGCAGTTTCTTGGGAGTCATGCTGTGGCACGTCTTTGACGAGTTTGGCTTCTCACTGATGTTTTCCGGTAGCCTGACGATGGCGTTCCTGTTCAGGATGCATAAACAGCTTTTTGGGTGACTGCTGCCAGTAGAGATGCAGCTGCAAGAAGTGTGGTGATTAGAGCCCCGCTGCAGGAGACCGTGCTTTTTCAACATAGCAGGGCTCTTTGCGATGTGTGTCCGAGCCGAGGGTTGTCCCAAATGCCCCTATTTTTTTGTTCCGATTCTGACACTTGAATCCTTTTGGGGAATATGGGAGAATTTCCGGAATCTGAGGTGAGACCTCCCATCACATCCTCCGGTCGCGTGCCTTACGTGGAGTTCTCTGCTACATCTGACAGCCTGTGCTTCAGGGTTATGCTTGATTAGGCCACCGCAGCATTACTACTTTAGTTACGGAAGTGCTACGGCCCGTGCTGCAACCAACTGCTGTTGCTGCTCCTGCTACTGCAACTGCCACTGCTACCACTGCTGCTGGTGCTGCTGCTGCTGCTGCTGCAGCTACTGCTAGCGCTACTACTGCTGCTGCTGCTACCACTTGCTACTGCCACTGCTGCTGCTACTGTCACTGCTACTGCTACCGCCGCTGCTGCTGCTGGTGCTGCTGCTGCTGCTACTACTACTACTACTACTACTACTACTACGACTACAAACCCCGGGCTATGCGCGGACTACTACTACTACGACTACGACTACTACTAGTTCTATTGCTGCTACTGCTGCTGCTGCTGCTACTACTACTACTCCTTCTACTACTGCTGCTCTCATTGCCCGAGTGACATACAGCTGCCACTGTCAAGTAACAATCCGAGCATGCAGAACCGCCTAAACTGCCTAAACCTTACACTAAACCCTAAGCCCCACCCGAACAAGGCTTCAATATCTTAGCGCGCCAAATGCTCGCGACGCAACCCAGGGCAGGTCTCTTGATCAATTCGCTGTCCTCCTGGCTGGTGTCAGCTTACTGGTGCGTCGGCTTTGGCGAGTGGTGCATTCTGTGACTTGGGCCTAAACCCTAAACATCCCTAAACCCTAAACCCGAAAAGTTTTGGGTTCAGGCCCTTTGTACATTGAGCATCTGATGTTTTGGAATTCAACCTTCGTTGCTTAAGATGTGCGACGGAGGCCGTGTAGTTCAACTTTGTTACCAGTACTCATAGCCTCCATAGCCGTCAGGGCTGGATTTGGAGACCCTTCTGCATGATGTCCATGTCATACACTGCCTTGGATTTCTGCCAAGTTGCAAACAAGTCTTGCAGACCTGAGACCATCTTCGAGCGTTGGAGCGGTCTGTAAGTGCGTCAGATGCTCGAGACTTGTTTGATGAGAGGATGCTCTGCGAGCATGCCTTCGTGGCTTTTGGGAGCATGGTGCTGGTCCACAGCAATGTTCATCTTCATCTGATGCTACTGGGCTTTTTTCATCTGATTGCAAGCTAGACGGCTCAGGCCAGACCTCTCCTTGAAGTGAACGGCATCAGTGGTGAGTGGTGAGCTCTTCCTTTGAGTCTAAATCTGCACCAGAGCAGGTTTACAGCTGCCGGATCGCTGGTGTGCTATCTTGCTCGTCGGCAATCAGCAGCCCAGTCGTACGAGCTTGGCAAGCATCTTGGAGGATGTTTCAGGAACCGCGGGGTTCAGGGATTCGGAAGTTGGCTTCAGAGACTTGGTTGCGGGCGAAGTTCTACATTTCCATTCAGATTCCCTCAACTCGTTGCTTGGCTCCGAGTTTCGGGGAAGAATGCTATGCTTGCTCCTCCTGCTCCTCCTGCTCCTGCTGCTGCTGCTGCTGCTGCTGCTGTGCTGCTGCTTCTGCTACTACTACTACTAGTACTACTACGATTGAGGATATATATATATATATATATTATATATATATATATATATTTCCCATAATAAGGAATATACCATAATTCCCATAGTTTAGGGTCCTTCAGGTTATGCAGGATTTATAGCATTGACAGTGTCAACAGTAACAGTAGTACTACTACTGCTACTGCTGCTGCTGCTGCTGCTGCTGCTGCGACCACTACTACTACTACTACTACTACTACCACTACTACTACTACTACTACTACTACTACTAGTACTACTAGTACAACTACTACTAACGACGACGACGACTACTACTGCCACCACCCACTACTCCTCCTTCTCCTTTGCCTACCGCTGCTGCTGCTGCTGCTGCTGCTGCTGCTGCTGCTGCTGCCTCAGCTGCTGCGACTATACTTGATCCTGCTCGAGACCACAAGTTTAAGTTTGACACATGCCGCCTCATTCTTTTCCTTCCTGATTGGATGCCGGCATTTGGAACCGGAGGTTCTGGGTCGCCGGAACGGTCACGGTCGTTCTGATCTTGGTTGGTGGCATCACGGCGAATACAGTGGCGTCGGCATTCGGGATTAGGGCTTTCGTTTCGTTTTCGTGCAGCACACGATGTTGCCTATGAGCAGCCTAGTGGCTGAACTCCACAATGCAGGCTCTGAAGCGCAGGTGTTGACACCAGCACCACAAAGATGCTCTTCAGAAGAACCGTTGTAGAACCTGGAAAGCATCCTCTTCCAAGTCCGAGTGGACCGATTCGGAGCCGACTGTTCATCTCCAAATCCCGAAAGCGTCCCTGGATGTTTCGAGTGCATTTAATGTGGTAGAAGTCATGCTGGGAGGGCCAGCAAAGTCGCGCTGTGTAGTGGTAGAGTTGGCGGATGACGCCCTGGGGTCGCCTTCTGCTTTTCAAGCTCGGGCTTGAAGCATGGCTAAGCTGGAGGTGCAATAGAGCCGACAGAGCTTGGAAGGTGGGTTCTTTGCAGAATAGGAATTGGGATGCTTCCCCGGGTTGAAGCCAGACTTCTGCTGCCCGTGGGCTCTCTCCCAGGCATCTTGTACTCTGGCCATTCAAGCATCGCTTTCCTCCAGCGGATGCTGAGTTGCACGTTTATGCGAGAGCAACCACTGGGGGCTTGGGGGGTTTGAGCTGAGAGCCTGCACAGAGAGCCCAGAGCCTGCTCTCAAGAGCTTCCCCAGTTTTCAGGAAGCTTGCTCTCGTGTCGTCCATCGTCACGGTGTCGGAGAAGGTGGGTCAAGCGCGGAGGGAACGGGTTGCTTCGGATCATTTTGCTGCGAGCTGTATGCGGCGACTCTGTAAGGCCGTGAAGCCTAGTCGGAGTCTCTCTGACGACGCAAGCCTTGAACCAAACCAACTGCGTCATCTTGCACCTCTCTTGTTTGCCTGATGTCTGGGTACATCCAAAGTATGCTTGTACGGCTTGGTTTGTTCCTGCCATAGATTGTGGAGCAGAGCGCTTGTCGTGTTTACGTTTGCAATCGTTAGTGTCCTTGATGATATCCGCCATGCTTGTAACAGTGTCGTGGTGGCGGCGGTGGTGGTGATGGTGGTGGTCGTCGGGACATAGGCTGAAGAAGCGGTGGGCGAGAGGAGGAGCAAGGCAAGGACTCCAAGACTGGCAGTGCTACCGCGAATACCGATTATCACGATTGGCCAAACTGACCCCCCCTTTCAGCTTCCGTTAAAGAGAGTGGTTTAGGGTTTTCTGGGCAGCTTTTTGGGCAGCTCCAAACAGGGGAAATCTCCCAGTGTCGAAGATGTCTTGGGACGTTTCCTGCGAGCCAGGAGCTGGTAAGCGGGGACAGCACCCTCCACACTCCACCGATCCCCGGCTGGATCTCGGGGGTTTAGGGTTTAGGGTTTACGGTTTAGGGTTTTAGGAATTCTAGGAGCCTAGGAGCACTGGAACCAGAGTTTGGATATCAGGTGTGCCCTGGCGCCCGAAACCCCAAGCTTCCGTGAAGGAATGGAATGCGGCGGTCGAGCCCAGGTACGCCGACAAGCGGCTTGGTTTGAACTAGTCCGGAGCTTTCGGGGTTGGCGTGTTTGGTCGTGACGCTCAGAAGTTCAGTGCCTTCACGGCCTTTCGAGTTTGATAAGTTTGAGCTCTTCTTTGCACTGAGTGGGGCCGGTAATCTGAGCATTGAAATCAAGATTCTAAGCCCTGGAACCCCAAACCCGAAACTCTAAGCTCTGAAACCCTAAAGTGTTCTAGGCTCTGAGCGCTTGATGTTCTCCCGTAAGGTTCAGATGTTGACGGCTTGGAGCTCGAGGAGTGCATAGGTGCCGGATCCTTTGGCAAGGCTGGTGCAAGCATCCATGATCCAGAGACTTTTGGGGGGGTTCAAACTTTTGATCTTCAGAGTGGTGGCTGTTTGTTTTTTGTGCGTTTGGACCATTGGAGGTTCTGTGCTACTGAGATGATGGAGTGGGGAGATCTTGTCATCGGGCCCACCTGTCGTAGTTTTTAAGGCGGCCTGCACCATCACTCATGAGGCTTAGCTCATGGAGTCTCCCGGGATAGACCTCAGTTAAGGCAAAGGACGACTTCTCACATGCGGCTTAGGGGTTTGTGGGTCTGGTGTCGGCTGTGCAGGTCTATTCTGCGACGTATCTGGGGAAGAGAGCTGCAGTGAAGATCATGAGCTGGGAGGGGGAGCTTCTTGGCTGAAGCCTAGCCCCAGAAGCTCGAGAGCTGGCAGGAAGCTGATGTTTAGAGTCTAGAGCATGGAAAGGAGGGCTGCCTCGGTGTTTGGGGATACAAACCCTCCTCTCCTTTGGAGATCCTTAAGTCCGTGGAGCCGTGACGCAACCCTAACTGGCCCTCCCAGTCTCAGGCAGCTCAAGCGCATTGACCCTTTGAGGGAGGCGGGGACCAGTGGGGACCGGGATTTGCGAGGGTCCGATTGCCGGGACATGGGAGATCTGATCTCAGCAGCTTCTTCATGACCTGTCGTAACACGGACGACTAATTAAGACTTTGCATCGCTCTTGTCTGCAGCCCCGGAGCCCTACTGCTGAGACACAGCTTCCGACGAAGCGGGGTTCAGGGTTTGGGTGCTTTAGGTGCTTGGCCGGGAGCTTGCGAAGTGTTAAGAGGCGAAGCTGTGTCTGCGAATGGTCCACCCGAACCTGGTTCAGGCTCCTTGCCTGCAGAAGGCTTACCATTTGTTCGTCATGGGTCATGGGCTTCAGGAGCGGGCGGTGGCCCCAGGCCCCAGTCAGGTGTAACATGCGCGCCCGCGCAACATTGTAGATTCTTACGAAGATGATAATCACGGCAACAATATCACTACAATACTCTCACGAACATCAGCAGTACAAGTGTGACTGCACCCAAGGCTTCAAACCCCCTATCAACGAGCGGCCTAGGCTTTCGACTTCATTCACCGCGATTCCTCATCCGAGGCCTCTGCTTATAAGTTCAGGTCGGTGGAATGTTAGCAGGTGCTGGGATTTCAGAACGATTCGAAGCCTGAAGCCTCTGCTTCCAAACAGTAGCTGCCCGTGGTGTTTGTGCTGGCTGTTCCTTCGACCTTCTCAGCATCAGCTATTGGGCACCGTGGCTTTTGTCAGGAGCTAGGGATTCCCACAACGACAGCAGTCATACTTGATGCCTACGCATGCATCTTCTTCATGCAGTCTTCTTTGCGTGCTATGTGCGAACATGTAGCACAGCAACGCAGTGTGCGAGGTTGTGCAAGCTCGTGAGCATGCAATACTTTTTTCTATGTGTGAGACAGGCTTTTGACCCGACCCGGACAAGAGTCGCAACCCAAATCGAAGCCGGAAAGTGACACAAAACTATCAACTATTGGGTCCAAAGACATCTGTCTGGTGCCGGAGGTCCTTGCGAAGAGGTCTTGGAATGAGATTTGGATCATCCAGGAGACTTAGCGCGGCTTCCCGCATCCTGGGGTTCGGTCGAAGCCCAAGACTTCATTGTTGAAATTCATCTTACACCACCCAGGCCATGCACACAAAGACAGGCACAACAACAGTGACATAGTCATCGTTGGGCAGTGTAGCAGTGCAGTTTCGTGATGACGAAGAAGATGATGATGAAGATGCTCGAATATTGACAGGAGTGGTGCGACCGTGGGACCCTCTGCAAGTACTGCAATACCCCGCGATTCGATGAGACGGGCTTGAGGCACCGGAGATTCGGGACAAGCCTGAAGCTGCATGTGGTTGTGGAGGGAGGTACGGTGGTCAACCGTGGAATACGCGGTTTCCGCTGCATGGTTTCTTCTTGCCACTCCTATGCATCCGTTTTCCTGGTGAAAGCTTTGTAGACTTTTGCTCAAGCTCAGTAAAGCAACACCTTAGACAATAAGCAGAAGGACTCCATGCTGCATGCTTCGATGAGCTCAAGCATAGGGAAGCTTCAGTTGGAAGTGCCAGCTCGTTGAGGGCTGCCACCAACAAGCTTCGTAGGCGCAACTTGGTTGTGGCCAATGTTTTCTTATCGTCAAGTCAGAACTCAGTACGAACAAGAATGCGCCATCACTGCACAACATGCGACTCCTCCTGCTGCTACTACGGCAGCTGCTGTTGCTGCTGCTCATAGAATAACAACAACTGTTACTGCTACTACTGAGACTAATGAGTTACCAACGCTCCTAGGCTACAATACAACAGCAACAACAGAAACAACAGCAACAACCCAACAACTACTACTCTACTACCACGATTACTAAAATTATTCGTGTTCTTCTTCTTCTTACTACTACTACTACTACTACTACTACTACTACTACTCCTACTGCTACCGCTACCGCTACCGCTACCGCTACCGCTACCGCTACCGCTACCTCTACCGCTACCGCTACCGCTACCGCTACCGCTACCGCTACCGCTACCGCTACCGCTGCTACTACTACTACTACTAC